ATTTTCTGAATTTATGCTATCTTACTAAAATTGCGTTTCCAAATCTTAGTGGAAGGTTTGGTCAATAAAACGTAAAAAAAAAAAAAGGAAAAGGAAAAAAAAAAGTGTGTTGTCTCTTAAAGAGAGGGATTTCACATTTTAAGCATTTTGTATTAGTCATATGTTCTTTGATCGACAAGTTTTGTTTTTAACCACCGTTGGTGGAAGCAGTGAAATTTAGCGCCACGGCCTCTAGTTAAACATTAATTGTTGGTGTGTTGTTTTTATTGTGACTTGTGGTAAAATGTATTACACACTGGGTCACGAATAAAGATTTGAATCTACAACATGCAGGTCTGTGGCCCCGGTGGTTTAGATCGCAGCATATTTAAAAACAGCCCAGTCAAAGTCGAGACCTAACAGCGAATCTGTGATTAGGCTTGAAAGTGGATATTTACAGACACTCTCCATCCAATTCGACATAGATGGAGCAAATCTTTGAAGAATAATAGGCCCACATTTCAGTCTTGATATGTTACGAAACTGGCAGAGACAAACCAAAACGCCTGGAGATATATTTACTGCAACAGGCCACTTTGTAAAGTGTCGACTCAGGCAGGCTAAAAGCTTCCACAAGCCGTCAAATCCCAATAAAATCCACTGAAGTTGGTGGTTGTAACAAGACGAAATGTAAACAAAACAAAAAAGAAATTAAATAAAAGAGTGGTATGTCGGGATGCACTGATCCAATTTTTTCACTTCCAATACCGATAAAGATATCTGAAATTTAGCATCGGTTGATACCGATTTAAAACATTGACTTTTTTTTTTTTTACATAGACATAGATGTACTGAATTATAATTTTTTTTCATAACTCGTCAGTACATCACATTTAAATACACCAACAGCTTCACTAGGTTTGGTCAAACATGTAAAAATAACTTTTATTTATTCAGTCAGTGCAATTAGGAGTAGAATAGTCAATGTAAAATAAATAAATTGAAACTGACAAAAAACAATTGGCTCACTACACAAATGTAATAAATAAACTGAAACAAACTTTCTTTCAAATAGTTCAGAAAGTACAATTAGGAACTCTAAAATAAATGATAAAGCATGACGCCGCTCAGAGCACAAAGCATAGAATTAGATTGAACATCGTCATCCATAACCGATGTAGAGTTTATTTTTTTCCAATATCGGGACCGATACAGATATCAATCTTGGATCGGTGCATATCTAGAGGTAGGAATACATTCACAAAGGGGCTGCATATTTCAGTTATCAACCAACCACAGGTTGGGAATATAAGTTAAAAAACAAAGATCCAACCTCTTTCCTCCTGATCCTTAAAGTGCCACCAGTATCCTTTGGAGGGGTGATAGCGGCAGTACGACATGGCCTCGTCGAAAGCCGACTGGATGCCATGGAGTGCAGAAAGCTAAACCAGCATAGCATAAATAAAAGAGGACAAAAGCTTAATGTTAGCACACCAAAAGACTAACAGCAGTTATAATTAACCAGACTTACCACTCTAGAGCTGATAACCGTCCCCAGGTCTGGAGCCTGATACACCACTCCCGCTATGATGTAGTAGTCAGCCAAAGGAATCACTAGAAAATGTTAGACGGAGATTTTTACATGTAGCAGGATGGAAAAATCTTAGTATCAATGTTTCAAATATAAAGTTCAAGCACTGGCTACAACGCAGCGGTGGTGTGGCGTGCATCTCCGCTCACCTTGTGTTGGAGACTGCCGCTGCTGCTTACGGATGATGTAGAGAATTGGTTCCTGAGCGTGAAGGAGAATGTACTCCACTCCCACCATCTGGCTGGAAATAAAAACAACATGGAGGGCAAACAGCTTTCAGTATAATCCTCACTTTGAGGACAAACTTCAGGTTTTGTTTTGGGGGTTTTTCTAACACGTGGTTATAGCCGGTATTCTGAAATAAAATCAGATGATCGATAAGCCGCACCGTGATTAGGCATGCGCAAATTACAACTACCAGAGGTTGTAGAGGTTACAGTTTTTAAACATTTTCCTTCATAATGTAAAACTTGAAAAGTAAAAAAAAAAAAAAAAAAGAAAAAAAAAGAGAGAAACAGAAAGTAGGAGAGTTAATATGGGAGGAAGCTAAACACTGAGTTAATAAGAGGGACCCAGGAAACCTTAGAGATTTGGAGTTTCTGTGTCACATCCAGTTCCAATTCTGTGCATCGATTTCAGTTTACGGTTATGCTTTTGGCAAGTCTAAGAAGAAGAAAAAAAATCAACACAAAAATAAGCGTAGTCATAAAATATAAACTTACTTGAGGTGCTCCAGAGTGAGCCGCTGCATCTTCACGATCTCGTTGTTGCAGGTTCGGTCATAGAACGGGTTGCTCCTCTCGGAGAAGTAGTCCAGAACATTCCCGGGATTGAGAATCGGCACCCAGCCGCTGTCCACCCACGATATGCCCAGGAGGTTGTCTGCAAAGTTACCATGGAAACACAACATGCAATAACTACTGAAACAGGCTTCACTGGCAAGTAACCAATGGGCAGTATTGTTACATTTCACACTTCTCCCGTTTTTAAAATCTTGAAAATGTTTTAACGGACAGTTTTGTTATTGTCATGTTCAATAAATTATACACTAACACAATACTGAAACTGGCGTCTAATTGATAAGCGTGGTAGAAAACTATTTTACTTATTTTTTAGCACTGGTTCTACTTTACAACTGTCAATCAGGATGGAAGCTCTAAGCAAACATTGTGATATTTAATATCTTTATCCTGTTTGCAAAAATATATGTATAGCTGTGCTCTTTTTTTCTATTTCAACTTTATCCTCATCACACCACAGTTTTAAAACAGTTAAAAATACTGACATGTAAACCTATTATGTGCAAGCAAAACGTCATAAGAATTTAGTATTTATCTACAATCCAACAGTATCTAAAAAGCTGGAATTTGTTTATAGATATGAGTGGCAATGAATACCTCATTTTAATTCCCTGCAATTTGACACACGAATATACCAGAAATAATAAGTTAAAGAAGCTGAATCCTTAAGAGCAAAAAAAAAAAAAAAAAAAAAAAAAAAAACCCCAAAAAAAAAAAAAAAAAAATACAAACCCTAAAAAAAAAAAAANAAAAATAAAAAAAAAGCAAAACCAAAAAGAAAAAAAAAAAAAAAAAAAAAAAAAAAACCCACAACAATAACAACAACAATTACTACACTGTAAAAGAAATGAAGTCTGAAACCAAATAACATAAGAACACTGGAGCTATCAAAGCTAGCTGGCATGCTAACGTTACCTTGCAGCGTTACTAAATGCATTTAAAACACACCAACTCTAAATTCAAGCTTTATTCCATTCGTTTCACATTAGACTCGGTCAATTAAAATTATTAAATCTTAAATAAACCAGATAACGCGTTCCACATAGCAATACAACAATTAGCCTACCTCTGAAATCAACCGACGCCATGATAGTAAACAAATGGTCTCTTAAAAATTGCGTCTTTGCTGTCCGTCGTGTCGCAGCTTGATGACGCAACCCATTGGAAGTCGTTACTGCCATAGACATAATATAATAATAAAAACTTAATATAAACATAATATAAATATATTAAATATAATATAAACATAATATATGGTCTATCCTTATATTATATCTATGGTTACTGCTCAATACTCATTTAAAACATACGTTTTCCTTCTATAATATCACTTGAGTCAAATCTTTTACGAGCTACTTTGTTGTATTTTTCAGTAGTATGCCTTTGCAGCAAACTTCAGTTTATGTTTCACATTTGTATATTTTAGTACCATTAAGATACAATAAGCTTTTTTAAGTTATGTTAAAATTACTGACAGGTAAATGTGCAAATATTAATTTTCTATTTAGAAACACATTAATCTTGGTGTGAAGGAACTATTTAATATATTGTTTTGTCAGTTAAAAAAATTAATTTATGTTTTGATGTCTTAGATTAACCTGCCAGGAACTGAAATGTAAATTATAACTGATTTTTACAATGGAGCTTGAAGTTTCAAATATTTTTTTTTTTTGCTCAATTAGGAACAAGAAGAGCCAAAAGACAACTTGTCCAGTCAAAACAAGCAGCTATTAAAGATTTAGGCAGAATATAATTTCATATGCCACCCCCTGTTCATCACCCTCCCCTTCATGCACTGAAATTTGGGTCATGATTCAAATATTCCACTGAGAAATGGAGCGCTTATTCAAGAAGCTGATTCATCACCATTTCTCACTGATTCCTAATAGGTGAATTCATGTGTATTAGGAGTTAATACTCTTCTATATTTTGCTATGTTTGTTCAGAAATAGCTCTTCAGTAAAGTATTAAAGCATATATGTGTATTTCATGTATTATTGATAAACTGCCAAACATTAAACTTTGTGCAAAGGTGTTAGCATGTTCTACAGCTGTTATGACCAGTCACTTTAATACACTTTTATACACTTTATTACGTGCAGAATAAAAATCAGATCAAGGCTGATGACGTATCCTTTAATGCATTAACAGGGATGATTACTTTTTTTTATTGAGGTTTTATTTATTTTCTTTTTTTATTATTCAGGTTTTTTTTTCAGATTTTGTTTGAAGAATTTCCCAAAAATATTTATTTTTTTTCTAATTTGTGCACAGAAAAGAAAAGTGATAGGTGAAAATTTGATTTGGTAAATAAAACCTGTTAAATACATTTTATATATTTCGAGCATTCACCTTAAACAAAGGTAAATATATCAGAACACTGCAAAGCTAATCATTTCATTATTGATTTGTTGTTATTCCATTTTTTTTTATTTTAAACTCAAAATTGAAACAATTCAGTTTTTGTACATTTTATTTTTAGATGAACTGAACATTTAGTAAATCCAACTATTTTATTGTGGTGATAATATATTTTTAAGTCATTCAAAAATATGTATTTTTGTAATTTGAAGTGAAATGAATAATGTTAGAAGAGTCAAGAAATGTATAAAATAACACACATCCTGTTTGGGATGGGGGGAAGGGGGAGTCCTGGTACTGGTTCAGTCCAAGTGTTTGGGTCTTTTATCAGGTCCAGAACTGATTAAGCGACTCCAAATCCATATTACTCAGCTCCACACATCTGGTCGCAAAAATAGCAAATGAGGTGAAATGTAGCGGTTTCTCAATAAAAAGCATCGTGATCTGTAATTACGCCCAACCAATATGAGACGCCCAAAATAAGATTAAGAGAATATAACTTTCTTCTGCCAGGACTTGCTTTTTCAGACTCACAATGAAATCAAACCATTCAGTCGGGGAATTATAATGGATGCACTATTTCTACTTTTTCTTTCTTTCTTCGACCAATCGGTTCGTTTCAATAGAAAACACGCGGGGAGCTGGTTACAACAGAGGAGCGCGCATCGCCCAGCGCAGGTTTGCGCACGGAGAGGACGTAGCTGCGACACTAGCGAGGCGAAAGGCGCGACTACAGCCGATAAGATGCGGTGAAAAGCTCCACTTTCTCCCCCCTTCTCCCCAGGCATTTTTTTTTAATACCACGGAGTGCCAGAGTAGACGGAAATTAAAAGGAAACGGGTCCAAGATGAGTGCGGTCCAGGCTGGAGGCGAAGGGAGGGTGGATAGCGGCAGAGGCAGCCTCACCGCCAGCAGCGGCGGCGGCGTTAGCGGCTCCCCGAGGCTCCATCAGCGCGTTCAGCCCCCCAACAGCGGCAGCCGGACGAAAGATAGCAGAAATCAACAGCAGCAGCAGCTTCAGCTCCAGCAGCAGAGGCATCATGGTGGGTCGATGCTGAAGCAACCATCCCACAATGAGCCAGCTGACGTCGTGAGGCGGGCGCTGGACTTTAAGAGCCAAGGCACTCAGTGCTACAAGGATAAGAAATACAGAGAGGCGATCGGCAAGTACCACCGCGCTCTGCTGGAGATCAAGGGGCTGTGCAGGGTGCTGGGAGATCCGGACCCCGGCCCCAAGTCCACGTCCACCCTCCTGCCGACCATCAGCAAGTCCAGCACGCTGACGGACGAGCAGAAGGGGGCGATGGAGAATGCGGAGCTGGAATGTTACAACAGCTTGGCTGGTAGGAGACGTTTTCCTGTCACAGCTCACTCATTTTATGTTTATGGTCTGGCTCACTCATTGTGAGTCTGGCTCACTCATTGTGAACCTGACCATAAACAGGGGCAGTAGCCCAGGGCACCATTTTTTGGGGGGACACCACAGATTTAAAAAACAAAAAATTGTATGAATCCATGTTTTGCAGACATTATCCTTCATAAAATGCCCATGTCAAGCAGGGTTTCCCCTTGAAATCTTGCTAAGTGTGGTGGTAGGGGGCGCCAGCGCAGTCATCCAGTTTTTGAATAAAAAATCTTAAGTTGACAGAAAAGATGAAGACATTAACACTATATAAACACCAAAGTATTTAAAAAGGCAAATGTAAAAAAACCACACACAAAAAAAAAATAAAATAAGTAAATACTTTTTTTGCACTTGAGTTGTTTCATCCTAATTAAAAATGTCCAATTTTTTTTAATCCTTTATCTGTGACTTCTCACTTCATTGGCTGAAGTTGTCAGTGTGTCGGCAGGCAGTGCTTACGGAGCTCCAGTGAATAAAAAATGACCACTGACCTCAGACTTCCTATGTGTTCACATACGGACCATATTGATGTCATTCTACTTCCAACTGTTTCACCAAAGAGACTCCTTAAGACGTCTTTATTATCACTGTTACTGATGTATATAAACAAACAGTTATATATACAACAGAGAATGCTTAGCGAATGTGGGCATAAGTAAAGCCTGGTGGCCCGCCAGGCTTATAATGCTAAGGGGAAACCCTGTCAATTATTTGAAAATTATGAAGTTATAGTATTTATTTATTTATTTATTTATTTATTCGTATTTTGGGAGCGACATGGATGTAGTGGTCAGGGGATGCTATGATATTAAACATACCATTCTCAGTTGGTATCATCAGTTCACACTCAATTATGCAAAGTTTTACAATGTAATGTACTGAAATTTGCAATAGCAAAAAAAATATCTATTTTTTTTAGCGGATAGGGAACCAAATGGTTTCCAGCCCGGGGGCCCACATCCTTATAAATCCAGCCCTGCTCACAACCTACAACCCTTCTTCTTTACATGGATTAACAAAAATAACCTATTTTAATTTGCACTTTGGAGGAAATACAAAATTACGTGCACGAAAGATGAAAAAAGTTCAAACGTGACCTCTCTTAACGTCTTTCTCTGTTCCAGCTTGCCTCTTGCAAATGGAGCTGGTGAACTACGAGCGGGTGAAGGAGTACTGCCTGAAAGTGCTTCTCAAGGAAGGGAAGAACTTCAAAGCCCTTTACCGCTCTGGAGTGGCCTACTACCACCTGGGAGACTACCAGAAGGCCCTGTACTACCTGAAGGAGTCGCACAAACAGGAGCCATCAGGTCAGCAGTCAGCACTGTTTTTGAAATGGGTGGGGAGAGATGGCTCACTGCCCTGGACGGCAATGATCAGGGGGGGCTCCACTTGGAAAAAAACAAAACAAAAAAAAAACAATATCTCAAAGAAAATTTCTGTTGTTTGCTTGCATGTTCAGTCAGTGGAGAATACATGTAGGTTTGAGTGCATATTTATTTATTCGTGTCAGATCAGGCTTTGTCAATAGAATAGTAATGAATTATTAGATTTATTATTACTCAGTTTAAAAACCGATGAAATATTTCAATCCCAATCAAAGTGGCAGATTGGACTGCTTATTCGAAACCCAAACGTGGTCCACACAAATCCTCGCTTCTCCTTGCGTCATGTCAAAACTAAACTCTCTCCTTCCTGCGTGGATCTGAAAGGATTGTGTCGGGTTCTAGGAGCAGGTAGTGTCTTGCAGAAATGCTTTCCACCAACAAGGCCGGGTAAGGTACGCCAGGGAGCAAGAGGCAGACGTTGAGTGTGTGTGCTGGGGAGCTCATTATGAGTTAAGAAATTCTGTCATGGGTACAAGCATGAAACTCTGGAGACTCTGGGAAACGAAAACCAGGCTGGGATTGTCGGCAATCATTTAAACATCTAAAGTAGACCGTGCTGTGGAAGATGCTATGCTTCCACATAGCATGTTGTCATCGCTAAAGTTAGTCTGTGGGTAGAAATTCTTACAATAAATGAAATTTCAATCGTTTAAGTTTAGGAAGGTTTACAAAATCTTTTTAGAGAGATAATACATAATCACTCAACTGATTCAGATTAAGCAGTTCATGTTTTACTTGGAGTAATTAACCCTCCTTGTGTCTTTGTTTAGTAAAGATCTATGTCAACTGGAAGCTAACGGCTAGAGCAAAGTTTAGAAACAACTCAGATTTCAGAAATGTCGTCGTAGTTTATGCAAACAGAAGTATGTTGTTATTGAGACAGGAAATGGAGGTTTGCAATGTTTCACACCTTCCTGTGTGAAACATTGCACTGTGGATGGAACATGTAAAGCAGTTCCCGTCAGAGGAAAGGGGCTCTAGACTCGCTATCAGATTAAACCTCCAGGACCAATTAATCTCAATTTAAACCAAGAAACTCACATGAAGACGCCAAGGAAGTTCATTAACTGTGGGTTTATCCCTTTAACAGCATTGTCACGCATCTTTTAATGTACACGTTCATCACGATTGAAGGCTGATTGAGGTTCTGCCGGAGGATTCCTCATCTGACTGGCCAAATGCCTGTCCTGTGAAAGATTCATGATCATTTTCATGAGAAAATACATCAACGATTTCCTCCCGATTTCTCCACAGACACAAACGCCATCCGCTACATCCAGCTGACAGAGATGAAGATTCGCCGAAATGCCCAGAAGGAAAAGAAAGAAGCGTCATAAGCCGGCGCCTCGCCTGTCATGAGTTGCAGCCCCACTGTGTGCCACTGGGACCTTAAAACANAAAAATAAAAAAAAAGCAAAACCAAAAAGAAAAAAAAAAAAAAAAAAAAAAAAAAAACCCACAACAATAACAACAACAATTACTACACTGTAAAAGAAATGAAGTCTGAAACCAAATAACATAAGAACACTGGAGCTATCAAAGCTAGCTGGCATGCTAACGTTACCTTGCAGCGTTACTAAATGCATTTAAAACACACCAACTCTAAATTCAAGCTTTATTCCATTCGTTTCACATTAGACTCGGTCAATTAAAATTATTAAATCTTAAATAAACCAGATAACGCGTTCCACATAGCAATACAACAATTAGCCTACCTCTGAAATCAACCGACGCCATGATAGTAAACAAATGGTCTCTTAAAAATTGCGTCTTTGCTGTCCGTCGTGTCGCAGCTTGATGACGCAACCCATTGGAAGTCGTTACTGCCATAGACATAATATAATAATAAAAACTTAATATAAACATAATATAAATATATTAAATATAATATAAACATAATATATGGTCTATCCTTATATTATATCTATGGTTACTGCTCAATACTCATTTAAAACATACGTTTTCCTTCTATAATATCACTTGAGTCAAATCTTTTACGAGCTACTTTGTTGTATTTTTCAGTAGTATGCCTTTGCAGCAAACTTCAGTTTATGTTTCACATTTGTATATTTTAGTACCATTAAGATACAATAAGCTTTTTTAAGTTATGTTAAAATTACTGACAGGTAAATGTGCAAATATTAATTTTCTATTTAGAAACACATTAATCTTGGTGTGAAGGAACTATTTAATATATTGTTTTGTCAGTTAAAAAAATTAATTTATGTTTTGATGTCTTAGATTAACCTGCCAGGAACTGAAATGTAAATTATAACTGATTTTTACAATGGAGCTTGAAGTTTCAAATATTTTTTTTTTTTGCTCAATTAGGAACAAGAAGAGCCAAAAGACAACTTGTCCAGTCAAAACAAGCAGCTATTAAAGATTTAGGCAGAATATAATTTCATATGCCACCCCCTGTTCATCACCCTCCCCTTCATGCACTGAAATTTGGGTCATGATTCAAATATTCCACTGAGAAATGGAGCGCTTATTCAAGAAGCTGATTCATCACCATTTCTCACTGATTCCTAATAGGTGAATTCATGTGTATTAGGAGTTAATACTCTTCTATATTTTGCTATGTTTGTTCAGAAATAGCTCTTCAGTAAAGTATTAAAGCATATATGTGTATTTCATGTATTATTGATAAACTGCCAAACATTAAACTTTGTGCAAAGGTGTTAGCATGTTCTACAGCTGTTATGACCAGTCACTTTAATACACTTTTATACACTTTATTACGTGCAGAATAAAAATCAGATCAAGGCTGATGACGTATCCTTTAATGCATTAACAGGGATGATTACTTTTTTTTATTGAGGTTTTATTTATTTTCTTTTTTTATTATTCAGGTTTTTTTTTCAGATTTTGTTTGAAGAATTTCCCAAAAATATTTATTTTTTTTCTAATTTGTGCACAGAAAAGAAAAGTGATAGGTGAAAATTTGATTTGGTAAATAAAACCTGTTAAATACATTTTATATATTTCGAGCATTCACCTTAAACAAAGGTAAATATATCAGAACACTGCAAAGCTAATCATTTCATTATTGATTTGTTGTTATTCCATTTTTTTTTATTTTAAACTCAAAATTGAAACAATTCAGTTTTTGTACATTTTATTTTTAGATGAACTGAACATTTAGTAAATCCAACTATTTTATTGTGGTGATAATATATTTTTAAGTCATTCAAAAATATGTATTTTTGTAATTTGAAGTGAAATGAATAATGTTAGAAGAGTCAAGAAATGTATAAAATAACACACATCCTGTTTGGGATGGGGGGAAGGGGGAGTCCTGGTACTGGTTCAGTCCAAGTGTTTGGGTCTTTTATCAGGTCCAGAACTGATTAAGCGACTCCAAATCCATATTACTCAGCTCCACACATCTGGTCGCAAAAATAGCAAATGAGGTGAAATGTAGCGGTTTCTCAATAAAAAGCATCGTGATCTGTAATTACGCCCAACCAATATGAGACGCCCAAAATAAGATTAAGAGAATATAACTTTCTTCTGCCAGGACTTTCTTTTTCAGACTCACAATGAAATCAAACCATTCAGTCGGGGAATTATAATGGATGCACTATTTCTACTTTTTCTTTCTTTCTTCGACCAATCGGTTCGTTTCAATAGAAAACACGCGGGGAGCTGGTTACAACAGAGGAGCGCGCATCGCCCAGCGCAGGTTTGCGCACGGAGAGGACGTAGCTGCGACACTAGCGAGGCGAAAGGCGCGACTACAGCCGATAAGATGCGGTGAAAAGCTCCACTTTCTCCCCCCTTCTCCCCAGGCATTTTTTTTTAATACCACGGAGTGCCAGAGTAGACGGAAATTAAAAGGAAACGGGTCCAAGATGAGTGCGGTCCAGGCTGGAGGCGAAGGGAGGGTGGATAGCGGCAGAGGCAGCCTCACCGCCAGCAGCGGCGGCGGCGTTAGCGGCTCCCCGAGGCTCCATCAGCGCGTTCAGCCCCCCAACAGCGGCAGCCGGACGAAAGATAGCAGAAATCAACAGCAGCAGCAGCTTCAGCTCCAGCAGCAGAGGCATCATGGTGGGTCGATGCTGAAGCAACCATCCCACAATGAGCCAGCTGACGTCGTGAGGCGGGCGCTGGACTTTAAGAGCCAAGGCACTCAGTGCTACAAGGATAAGAAATACAGAGAGGCGATCGGCAAGTACCACCGCGCTCTGCTGGAGATCAAGGGGCTGTGCAGGGTGCTGGGAGATCCGGACCCCGGCCCCAAGTCCACGTCCACCCTCCTGCCGACCATCAGCAAGTCCAGCACGCTGACGGACGAGCAGAAGGGGGCGATGGAGAATGCGGAGCTGGAATGTTACAACAGCTTGGCTGGTAGGAGACGTTTTCCTGTCACAGCTCACTCATTTTATGTTTATGGTCTGGCTCACTCATTGTGAGTCTGGCTCACTCATTGTGAACCTGACCATAAACAGGGGCAGTAGCCCAGGGCACCATTTTTTGGGGGGACACCACAGATTTAAAAAACAAAAAATTGTATGAATCCATGTTTTGCAGACATTATCCTTCATAAAATGCCCATGTCAAGCAGGGTTTCCCCTTGAAATCTTGCTAAGTGTGGTGGTAGGGGGCGCCAGCGCAGTCATCCAGTTTTTGAATAAAAAATCTTAAGTTGACAGAAAAGATGAAGACATTAACACTATATAAACACCAAAGTATTTAAAAAGGCAAATGTAAAAAAACCACACACAAAAAAAAAATAAAATAAGTAAATACTTTTTTTGCACTTGAGTTGTTTCATCCTAATTAAAAATGTCCAATTTTTTTTAATCCTTTATCTGTGACTTCTCACTTCATTGGCTGAAGTTGTCAGTGTGTCGGCAGGCAGTGCTTACGGAGCTCCAGTGAATAAAAAATGACCACTGACCTCAGACTTCCTATGTGTTCACATACGGACCATATTGATGTCATTCTACTTCCAACTGTTTCACCAAAGAGACTCCTTAAGACGTCTTTATTATCACTGTTACTGATGTATATAAACAAACAGTTATATATACAACAGAGAATGCTTAGCGAATGTGGGCATAAGTAAAGCCTGGTGGCCCGCCAGGCTTATAATGCTAAGGGGAAACCCTGTCAATTATTTGAAAATTATGAAGTTATAGTATTTATTTATTTATTTATTTATTTATTCGTATTTTGGGAGCGACATGGATGTAGTGGTCAGGGGATGCTATGATATTAAACATACCATTCTCAGTTGGTATCATCAGTTCACACTCAATTATGCAAAGTTTTACAATGTAATGTACTGAAATTTGCAATAGCAAAAAAAATATCTATTTTTTTTAGCGGATAGGGAACCAAATGGTTTCCAGCCCGGGGGCCCACATCCTTATAAATCCAGCCCTGCTCACAACCTACAACCCTTCTTCTTTACATGGATTAACAAAAATAACCTATTTTAATTTGCACTTTGGAGGAAATACAAAATTACGTGCACGAAAGATGAAAAAAGTTCAAACGTGACCTCTCTTAACGTCTTTCTCTGTTCCAGCTTGCCTCTTGCAAATGGAGCTGGTGAACTACGAGCGGGTGAAGGAGTACTGCCTGAAAGTGCTTCTCAAGGAAGGGAAGAACTTCAAAGCCCTTTACCGCTCTGGAGTGGCCTACTACCACCTGGGAGACTACCAGAAGGCCCTGTACTACCTGAAGGAGTCGCACAAACAGGAGCCATCAGGTCAGCAGTCAGCACTGTTTTTGAAATGGGTGGGGAGAGATGGCTCACTGCCCTGGACGGCAATGATCAGGGGCGCCTCCACTTGAAAAAAAACCCCCAAAAAAACAGTAATATCTCAAAGAAAATTTCTGTTGTTTGCTTGCATGTTCAGTCAGTGGAGAATACATGTAGGTTTGAGTGCATATTTATTTATTCGTGTCAGATCAGGCTTTGTCAATAGAATAGTAATGAATTATTAGATTTATTATTACTCAGTTTAAAAACCGATGAAATATTTCAATCCCAATCAAAGTGGCAGATTGGACTGCTTATTCGAAACCCAAACGTGGTCCACACAAATCCTCGCTTCTCCTTGCGTCATGTCAAAACTAAACTCTCTCCTTCCTGCGTGGATCTGAAAGGATTGTGTCGGGTTCTAGGAGCAGGTAGTGTCTTGCAGAAATGCTTTCCACCAACAAGGCCGGGTAAGGTACGCCAGGGAGCAAGAGGCAGACGTTGAGTGTGTGTGCTGGGGAGCTCATTATGAGTTAAGAAATTCTGTCATGGGTACAAGCATGAAACTCTGGAGACTCTGGGAAACGAAAACCAGGCTGGGATTGTCGGCAATCATTTAAACATCTAAAGTAGACCGTGCTGTGGAAGATGCTATGCTTCCACATAGCATGT